TTCCCCCCTCTTCCCTGCCAAATCATTTAACAATTAAACTAAACAAGGAAAAGAGAAAAATTTGATCTCCGTCTGCCCTGAAATCACAGCCACAAGAGGTGATATACCGTATTTGCAAGCTTCATTCATAAGATTCATTCTACTGCATTTTTGGTTTAGGACTGTCAGTAAAGACTGGAGCCTAATGGTACCATGTAAGTATAATCAAAGTCTTTAAAGCACTCTCGTAATCCTGACCAGAAGCTTTAATGAAGTACAGAGGTTTATTGTCTACTCACCTACCACCCACCGCAAAATCAGAAATCGCATAGTAATAAGACTTGAGAACTTTTGGGTCATTGAAAACTTCATCTCCAAATGTGTTCAGACGATTGAGGGTCACTCTAATATCTGTAGCCGTCACCCATTCCTAGAGCAGACAGAAATCCCATCAGATTAAACACCGAACATCCCTCTCAAACATACCAATGCCGTGTCATTAGCAGTCGTATTTACATTGTCATTCATCATTCTGCAAGTTCCTTTCCCATAATTTTCCCCTCAGCACCTCAGAAGCTCACACGTTCCTGCCTGAGAGGCCTTACACCACATCCTCTTGGTTTGGATGCATTTTCTGGACCCTGCTCCTCTCTGGGTACCCTTTCCAATGTCTCTTCGCATCTTGAATGCTCTCAGCTGGGAAGCAGTGGGTAACCTCACCAGCAAAGAGCATGCTGCAAACACTTACATGAGTTTACACATTGTATGTATCTGACAGCAGTTTTCCTGCAAAGCTAGACAGCACCAATGGGAAAAGCTTTAGGGTTCACTTGTCTGCAGACATACCCCACCAGTGCAGACAGACAAATGAATGAGGCGGAGGGAGGCTGAGGAAGAAGAACAGACAGGCAGAGCTGACTTACAACACAAGAGCTTTTCATAATATTTACACAGCATCTTCAACACACCACCCTACCCTCCTTCAGCGAAGGCCAGCAAATGTAGCCCGTCCCCAAAAGCCACATCGCCTTCAGCCAGTGACTGTCACTAGGACCTCTTTGTTTTTATTACAACTTCTGCAACGCTGTTTTCCTTCCAACACCATAAAAAACAGGAAAATCACGCTTGTACATACAACTGCACTGCAGCTGCATTGCTGCTTAGCCAGTACAATAAGATTTGCTGAATTACAAACACTGGCATAAACACACGGGAATGCTGAGCACAAAATACACATTTACTGCAGTTTCAAAAGACAACACCAGAGGTCTGTACATATTTCAGGAAAGATTATCAGAAAATTATATACCATATCATTAACTTGAAATCTCTCTGTTCACCTTAACAATTAGACCCTTTTCTCTGCAAGGGTTAGCTACACCAACAAGGCGGACAAACTGGTTCTTTTCCATTTCAGGAGTTCTTCTCTCTTTCCTGTTAATCTGTATTTTCGTTTGCAGAAGCAAGCCCCACCAGATTGTGTTTTCCTGCCTGCTGGCTGGGGATCAAGTTTCCGTCTGCACCTGCTTCTCCAAGAGGAAAGGGAGGAAGCTCCCAAAGGAAGGAGATGAGCCCTGATGGGGCAAACCCACAGCTTTAGCTCCTTGTTGCAATATAAGCTGTAGAAATTGTCTACAACAACGAATTAGCAAGTAAACTGGACGAACTGGTGTGTTCTGCATGCTTCTGACTACTGCCCAACCAGCACTGTGAATGGTAACAACAAAAAAAACCTCCTGAGAAAACACTCTCCCCAAGTTGCTTGTAAGAGAAACCAAATACTGTGGATAAAATCAAGCTCCCCCACCCCAACGCACATGTAAAAGAACAGGTTAGGGTTTCCAATAACCTTTTATTTGTTTAGAAGAATCTCACATTTCTTAGATTTTTGTACTCAAAACATAAATGCAGATTCCTCAAATATTCATTTGAATTAAGTTTTACCTTCCTCTGCCCTTTTATCTGAAACAACAGCAAAATACCCACAGCTGCTTTCTAAGCAGGCAGAGATTGGTAGGCATCGTGGAAGTCTTTAGAGGATGCCTAACGACAAACCACCCTCAATGCCACCAATTTTGCTTCTTGTACCATAAGCCTACTAATAACAGAGTCAGAAGTTCAACTCTTCCTTCAAAAGCATCTCTTTGGCTTGTCCATCCCAACCTACCTGCGCAGGGGCCTTTCAGGATGAATACGAGCTGTAGCGCAGCCTGCGGTCAGCACAAAACCACCACCCACCACAACTGAACAGAAAGACTCAATTCCGATCACCCGCTGACTTAGTCCTGCTCACATACCTGTAGCACAGGGCTGTTGTCAAAGTTGTAGGCGCTGGGACGCCCCTCCAGTGTTGAGAACGCTACATTGCCCCCCGTGAGAGGGGAGATGTCGCTGAACTCATCCGTGCAGAGTGCTTGCTGCTCATCCTCCCCAGTCCGAATAAAGCCCCGGTTGACTTTGTGATACGTGCTCTCACAGGAGCCACTGTAATACTGGTAGGGCACCCATGGGCCATCTTCCCTGGTGCGTTTGTAGATCGCAAAGCTCTCTGGCCGACTGGTGTGAAACTTCAGGCGCACATACGTGATGTCAAAGGCCTTTCCTGCGGATGAGAGGAGACAGACATGAGAAAGACTCAAACAACTTAAACCAGAAAGAACAGTAAGAGCTGCACTGCAGCTCTCCCTTTAGAAGGAACATCTCCTTTAGTACCATCCAGTAGGATGAGCAGTGTCCAGCAGCACCAGAACTATCTCCTCCAGTCCTACGAGCTGCATCTCCTGGCAGAGACGAGGGGAAGGAACTGAAGGCAGAAGTCGAGGGCAGGCTGAGTAGATAAACAAACAGACCTGCAGATTCTGTGCAACCAAACACACATCTCTCAAGCTGCAATTCTCTACTGCGGACATCAACAGCGTCCTTACCCTAGCAGATGATATATTACATCAGAGCCACAACGGTTTTTGTGCATCTAAGGCCAGGCCCACATTAATCATGCCATTTGATTATGTTTCTTCCAAAGATACGTGTGGGAGACACAGTATTAACCAGAAGGTAAGAGTCACTCCACAGAGCCTGTTTTGCACCTCTGCTTCCTCTCTAAAGAGATAATATCCCAAACTCTGCCTGTTATTCATGAAGCCTTTCCTCCAGCAGTGAACTACTGAGCACACCTTCTTCTACTTATTCCCTGGGAATGACAAAACAAGGTTTAAGTTTCTCAGACCATACGATTAAAGTCGCCAAGACACCTTTCAGACCCAAGCGCAATGATTTACAAGCTAGCTATCATCTCCCTCTCCTAGAAGGAAAAATGCAAACTCACCTCCCTGCCCTCTTTTCATCTCCTAAGATGTCTGTGGCCATCAGCAGATCATCCTCCCTCATGGATTCTTCTCCAGTGACTGGAGCATCTACCCCTGTGCACATAAACCAACCGCCCAGGGGATTCACACCCCTGAGAACACCCATTAGTGGCAAATGACCACAGCACACTTCAGCCACCATCCTCTGTCATCCTCACCAGCCAAGGGGCACATTCCCAGTGTGCAGCTGCGTGCCAGCTGTTCTTGCTCCATCTTGGCGGGCAGACAGCGTACGATCAGGACACCCTGGTGCACGCAGGGAACTTGCTAAAACAATGTGAAGTTTGTCTGGAATAAAACCTTGGGTATCTAGTCCCTGCCACACTCTTTTATGCTCCCACTACCTCAAAGAAAAACATGACTCTGAGATTCAAGTCATCACCGGTCCCTTTGTTGACCAAAAAAAGAAAAAACTACTAAAAGAGTTTCAACTGATTGAGAAACAGGTTTTCTCCAGCTGTAGAAGTCACTTGGATTTAACCTCAATTTGTAAAAATTTACTAACTCCACCGTGTTAAATTTTAACAGGAGGCTGTGCCCCTGCTGAAGAGTGGTTCACTTCACAAGCTAAAGCAGACCAGACGGCACCAGGCAACAAGAACAGTGCCTCTCAAAGCACACACACAAAACCTGACTGCAGTGACTCAAGTTCAAGTCATGAACTGCGGTCGTCGTCTGCGGGCCACCCCCTGATTACACTCGGAGCAGCCTGCAAGAGGCACGGCACATCCAGCAAGAGGCACGGCACATCCAGCACCTGGCCAGCACAAGAGGGGAACCTTTGCCCTTTCTGGCTGCTGAAAACACCAAATTAGCAGGAGAAGCGTGGCAAAGGGTCCAGAAATCAACGTACCAGAAAAAAAATAAAATTAAAACCAAGACACACAGCATCCAAAAACCTTATACGTGCATGTCCCGAGGGTTAAAAAAGACCAATCTTGTGTTTAAAGCCAAAGAAATCTTCCAATACCCCAACCTACCACGCAAGGCAGCTGGGGCACTGTACAGATCCAAACACCCCAGTACTTCCCACAAAATACCCTTTTCTATTTATATCATGCGTGAGGTTACAGATGACCTAAGCACAGGAACGGAAACTTGACATTCACAAGCTGTGGCTTTTACTCAACACCAGCTCACTGTTAGTTTGGGGTCAAGTCAAGAAGAAGCTCAAGGTGAGAGCACCAGAAACAAGCCAACAGGGCAGACACGCACGAGAATCTTTTCCGAGGCCCATAGTAAATGAACCCAGGACATATTCCACATCTTTTCCAGATAAAGGCAGGGAGCTCCAAAGCAAACACCTCATTCTTCTGCTGGAAGACCCTAGTGTATGCACTGACCTGCAACTTGCCAGTCTGAGAACTTTACCAACATCTTGGATGGGCAGCAACTAAAACCAGACCCACTACACGGTTTTATCACTAATAAAACTGTCATCAGTTTAATGAGGAAGTCTGCTTTGAGCTCATACTAAAATAAAGCAAACTATGAGGCTGAAAATCTGCCCTGGTGGCATTTCTTAGGGCAGTGTTCATGACAAGTGAAAATACTGAAGACATCGGTCAACAGCAGCCATTCCATGAGCGAAGAGGGGTGGAAAAAAGAAGTAGGGCAGAACCAACAGCATGAAGATCACTCAACTTGTCTCAACTGAACCGCCAAGAATACTCTGCTACTTTGACTTGGGTTAGTTTTCTTCAACTGGTACTGAATTCCTCTAGTGTGAAGCAAAAACCTCTGCATTCGAGCTTCATCAAGATGATTCTGGGGAGGAAACGCTTTGAAAGAATCCTGGGAATGACAAAGGGGCCGGGCGTGTGCTCCCGCTCCACAAACACGCAACTTTGCTTGAGCAGAAAGGCCAGGTCACAGCCTGCACGTCCCAAGAAAAGAACTTGTGTTTTTTTTTCCCCTCTTCACTATAAGCGGATTTCAGTCCCTGTTCTCTGACAAGGTCTCCTACAGCTCCTTGCAAAAATTCCAGCTCAGCCAACGGCACAACACACGCAAACTGCACTCTCTGGGCAGTGCAAAAACATTTTCCATAGAAATCCCTTGTGCCCTCCCTTTTTCATCTTCAGTTTTACATGGTGGGCCAAAGAAAATGCATTCAGAACCCTTCTGACCAAGCAACCCAGGTGAAAAAGACATTTATTTCAGCTGGCAGTGTAACAACTACTTGAGAAATCCTGTTAATGGCATTAAAGAGGAATGCAGTTAATGCACACAGAGTGGCTGCGCACCAGCACCGTATCAGCTTGCCGTGGGTAAATACTGCTGGGACAACAGAGTTTACCCAAGAGCAGCTGACGCAGTGTTGAAACACGTTTCCCCCCTGTTCTGCTGAACGTAAAAGCTGTGCTTAGCAGCCTGGCAGCAAGCTGGGCTCTTCGAGGCAGCAGAGTTTTTTTCTAGCAACGATAAGCTGCTTTGGTTGCTTTCAAGTCTTGCAGGGCTAAATAAATATATACTGCCATTACACTGAGAAATGGCGACAGCAATAACCAGGTAAAAGGCAGTTTTAAATGTTTCATTTGAAAGACAAAAAAGTCGTTGTTCTCCTGTTCCTAGAAGCTCGTCATTATTTTGATCTCAGCTTGGCTCACAAGTGTCTGATGGCATCAAGTGCCAGATAACATTTCCCTCTGTGTACTGAAGTTGCAGGTCTATTTTGCAGGAAGAATTCCAGATGTTTGTTATAAAAGTTCATTGATAGAAAGATGACATGCAATAACTAGAGACCATGAGCTTTGCACTTCAGAAGTGCAACCTGCCATGTCTTTAAAGCATCCAGAGCTCTAAATCATGAGCCACACATTTTAACACTGCATCTTTTCCGAGGCATGAAGCTGTTCATCAGCAAGTGACAAGGTGACAAGATAACCAGCCCCTTGTGATAATTCAGGGAGATTTAGAAAACCCCATAGTATCATCCTCTAAAGCAAGCAAGCACAAATACAAGTCTTCAAGACAGTATCGTAATTACAGATCGAATCAAGTGAGCAAGTCTAGGTGCCCGCAGAGGCAGCAACAGCGGCACTGGAAGCGTTCACTTCCCCCAGCAACCTGCCCACGTTGTCAGGCTGACCACAGCCCTTCCTCAGCAGGGTTATAGTGCAATTCTGTATCCCAGGGTCCACCAGGAAACGCGCCATGCAGAAGACCATAAAGACAGTCTGGAAAAATGCAGCAAGTGCTATTTAGATCTTCAGAAACTCCTCCCTTTCCCTGCAAGTTACGAATTGGTCCCTACACACAAAAGGCCTCCTTGTATTCAGACCCTCAGAACGGATGGATAATTTACATCAGGAAAAGGTCCTGCCAGCTGGCATGCCGACTACAAGCACCGAATTGTGAACAGATGCCTGAACGAGATAAGCCCAGACACACTCCCCTCCATCACTGGTCCACCCGCATCCCCTGCCTGCGGGAAGAAACCACGCTACCTGTTCTGCACTCTCCGAGATCCCTTGGTGCATCCTCCCAGCAGCAAGCTTTAAAATACAGTCACTGAGTTTTGCTGCCCAGGAAATAAAAAATCCGCCTGAGAAGATGGTACTGGGCAAAGAAGGAAGCCTTTGCAGATTTGTTTGCAGCAAAATTCACCGAGCACTAATGAAACTGTTGAACTTTGCTCTGTTTCTCTTTTGCTTGGCTCCTGTTTCAAAAGCAGCTTATTTCACACAGGTACCTGCTGAAAATCTATTTCTAAGTAAAGATTAAAAGAACCGAAAACAAATCAGTAAAAAATACCAGCATACTTACTACTTTTTGATTGGATTTCATTTCCATTTTGCAATGACAAGACAGAGAGCAAGTGACTACCGTTGGCATTTCTTTTTGTTCTTTTCTGACCTGTTCCCCATCACTCCCAGGAAGAAAGGGCAGCTTTCCCAGTTTACCAGACTGGAACATATCCCATGCCATTCACCCATCTTGTCCTTAGCCCTTCTTCAACCACCACATCTCCCCACCATCGAGCACAACACTGGGCCACCGACAAGCAGACAGATTCGAGACCCCAACACTCGACTGCTCCTGCCTGACAAATAAACAGCTACCGGGGATCGGG